GATGAAGAACAAATACTGAAAGTCAATCCATCTAAGTTTTATTTGGTAAAAATAACAATTGTTTGATAAATTAACTGATAATTTATATCTTATAATTAATGTTTGATGATTGATAGTTTATAATTTATAAGTGATAGCTAAAAACTTATAGTTGATAAGTTAATTAAAATGTTTTATAAAATTAACGGTTTAATTAATTAATAAATTAAAATGACATAAACGACATTTAATATATAACTATTTTATTTTAAATTAAATTAAATTAAAAAGGATACTAGTGGATTTTAGTTAAAATAATAAAAATAAAAATGAAAGAAAAAAAATGATAAAATATAAGTTATAAGCTAAAACGCCATTTAAAATAACGTATAGAAAATAAGTTATAAGCTAGGAAAATAAGCTACAAACTCATGATAAAAAGAGTGTTATCAAACAGGTATTTTATCGTCATATAAGCTTATAAGCTATAAGATATAAGTTAAAAAAATATTTTGCCAATCTAAGCTCTAGTCGCCACATAATCCCTCGTACAAAAATCGAGAGACTGAAATCCAAAGTAATTTGAAATTAAGCAAAGAATTGAGGTACCACCTTACAAATCCAATCCTTATTGTTTAAGCAAACCAACCTATTCTCTGTTGACTCGGGCTTAGAAAAGGTTCCTTCATCCACTCATAAAAAGTGCAAGAGTAATAAAAGGTTTCATTTAAATACCATTTTCAAGAGGATATGATAATTCTAGCAGCTAGCTCCTCCACAATCAACGTCTTATGTTAGAGAAAATAAAATCATTTCGTAATTTTCAAATATTATAGAACATTGAATACCAAATCAAAGCTAAACACTCTTTAACTTTAGGCACAACCCCTAACATCATAAAAATCTAATAAAAATAAAAATAAAAATGCCTGACACCTTTGGTAAACTCAAAGCTCGGCCTAACCAATTAGATATTATATCCCCTAGTGTCTTCATCATGCTCGAGTTCCTCCTCCACGCCCTTAGGTTTCTCCACCATACGCTTGGGTTCCTTAATCGCATCATTAGGTTCCTCCACCACGTGTTTCATCTCCTTCACCAATGCACTTCTTCAAGCATCATTTGGTGCTCTGGGCACCAATGATCTTATGTTAAACACTTTTAATTTGTTGTAGCAACAAAATGAAAGGTTAATTTATGTAGAATAGAGCCGGTAAAATATATGTTATGAGATTGTGATGCAAATTGAGGTTTTGCAACATGGCCAACCCGTAGATAATTCCAGAGCTACAAGGAGGCTCTGATCTCTTTGCAATGATAATCCTTCTCTACCACATGACTTTAATTGTGGTGGTAGCATCCACCCTCCCTCTAATGGTCATCTTTTACAAAGACCTCATTCCCCTCACTGACCGCAAAGGAGGCACAAGCATAACTCTCCTAAATAGTTCATCCCCCATTGTAAACGAAACTCATTCACAAAAACTAATGGAAAAAATGCACCATTCATGTGTCTTTAGAGAATACCTAAAAGTTAGATAGATATAATTATACTGGGGACCCCAACAATCAAATCGAGCATGTTGACACCGTTTTGGACTACCGTCAAGCCAAGAGAAGAGTAAAATGTAAACTTTTAGTTCTCACATTCAAGGGAGCCTCCATGACTTAGTTAAAAGGCCTGGAGTTAGGGATGGGAATAGGTTGGGTTGAGCTAGGCTTTGCCAAGTCTGATTCTGGCCTACTAAAAAATTCAAAGCTCAAGCCTAGCCTGTAGCCTATCTTAGGCTTGTTTTAGGCCTGGGTCTGGCATTTTTGTAGGTCGGATTGGTCTATTAGCCCACTTAAAAGTCTATTTCATTTGAACATTCATAAATAAGCAATTCAAAAAATGTTTAAATAGAGTAACAAATTAAAATATCAATGAGACTGAATGTTTGTTTGCATTGACTTATTTAAGTTTATCTTTTAACATAAGTTTTGTGATACTATTTATTTGAGAGAACTTATGAAAACAACTTATAAGCTATTTTCATCTTTTTTTCCATAAGTTCTTCTAGATAACTAACTTTATTTTTGTATTTTAATTAAAAGTACAAAATTAAATATAATAATGATAATAATAATGAAAATAATAATAATAATAATAATAATAATAATAATAATAATAATAATATATTTATGCATATTTATCTAAATGAGTCGGTTTGATAGGTTTAAAAGGATTTTTATGACCCGTGATCTAGCATTTTTAACTAAATAGGCTTATAAAAAAACCCGAGCCTTTTCTATTTAAAAAAAAAAACCTAGCCTGACTTGGGCGTATGTAGGCTAGGTCGTAGGCCCCTGTTAGTTGGCATGACTTATTCCCACCCCAACATGAAGTATAACTCTATCAAGTTTTAGAAGGCATTTTTTAAATAATTCACACCTCATTTCACCTTCTGAAAGCATCAACCAAAGACAATTGTCGTATTCAGTACCATATTGCAAAGGAAAATGAGACCTTGCAAGAGTACATTGGCATATTCACTAGAGAAGTCATATAAGTGAAAAGAGAAAATGAGACATTAAAGTGTTGGATCCTTCATAAAGGTTTAAGGCCAAATAACATGTTCAGAGAAAAGATGGACATAGAATAGTCGCAAAGTACGAAAGGACTTCTCACTCTAGCTTAACCATACATCAACTACAAAAGAAGTTTTTGATTGAAGAAATTAATAAGAGTAAATTATGTGGGGGAAATATGGACAAGAAACACTGCAAAGACAAAGACATCGAAAGGAACAAGGGACTTCACTCCTATTTCTCAGAATACACCCTTTTGAACATATCCATAAAAAGGATCTTACATGTGCACACTAGGATATAGTTTAATCAAGTTAGAGTGAAATACCTCTAAGCCATCAAATCGTCTCTGCGCACCAGCAAGAGAAAAGAGTATAGGTTTCACAAGTGACACGAGAACGAGACCGATAACTACATTAACCTCAAGGATGCAATTGAAGAATTGATCAAGAAGAGGAAGCTTAGAAGTTATACAGATGAAGATAGTCATTCAGGGGGAAAAGGAGACATAAAGACTTTTCATGGCGAGTTGGGCATATGAGATAATCTTTGCATAAAAAAAGTCCATTAGGGTATATCAAGAAAACACATGAGAGGACGGGACATGGCCAAGAATTTTCTCAGAGCCAGTTACTACTAACCACCATGGTTTAGTACTACAAGTAATATGTGATGAAGATAAAATATGCCATAAACACGAAGATATTAATATGAATCCTCTGTAGACCTCAATGTTCTGACTCTTCTATAACCTTTCTTCTAATGGGGCATGTACATATTAAGAACCTTCCCAGTGGAGATAGGGAAATTGGAACTCCTTATACTAGTTGTTGACTACTTCATATATAGATTAAGACGGAAGCCTTGACGAAATATATAGCCATTGACAATTGAAATCAACTCCCATTGTCATAGAGAACTCTCAACATGGACTATACCTTTGTCTTCAAAACTATTGCTTAACCAGTTATCATCATCAAAACCAACTGATGGTTATACCTACTAGCATATAGATTCACATTCTCTCCCTTTTGATGATAATTCATCTCTTATGGAATTGGTAAACAGAAAACAACGAGTAAAAATTTGGAATGGTTAAACTCCCTCTCACAGATAAATTTGGTGTGCTAATGAGATACCTCATAATGTGTTTTACTGTAATAAGGTGTGATTATTTGGGCTTTGTTTGAAAACGAGCACACAAACAGATGACAAACATGATATCAAGATGAGATGTAGTAAGATAAAGGAGAAAGACTATTATAACTTTGTGTTTTTTCTCATTTACTATCTTTCTATCTTCTTCCTTGTCTAAGATGCATGACATACTCATAAGGGTTGAGATTGACTTGGCTTTATCTATGTTGAATCTCTTTAGTAATTCTTTGTAGTATATTGTTTTATTGATGAATCTGTCCTCTAAGAAAGTACCACAACTCCCTCATCATAAACATCTTAAATTCGTTATGCATCCTATCAGAAAACTCCTTATACAATAATTAATTAGTAACAACGAAAATAATATCATGAATATAATTTTACCCAAAAAATTTTTATGCTCAATCTTCTTAATAAAAGGTTTTATATCAATCTTTCATCACTCAATCTTCCCTCATTATAAATTTAATAGAGGTATCCGTGTGACTTTGTATTGTTGTTCTAGAGAAATATTCACTCCGTTCCGTTTTAAGTGTTATTTTATTTTTTATTTTTTACATATATAAAAAAAACTAATCAATATGGTTACTTTGGAAACAATAATTCTTCTTTTATCTATAATATTCTTAATTATTTGGTACATTTATTTTACTTTTTTCCTCTATAATAATTACCTATGAATAATTTTAACAAAAATGCCCTGAGAGAGAGTATATAATAAAGAGAAATGTTAATGAGTATCCTCAGGACATATATTAAGAGATTAAAATGGTAAGTTGTACAATATTTAAAAAATTAAAAAAAATATATTTTTCTTAAATATATGTATATTAAAAAATAAATAATCAATTTAAAAAAAAATATTATGTGAATGAACAGAACCTAACATATTTATTTTATTTGAAATTTTTAGCCAATATCCTAAGGCACTGGTTGGCGGTATCCAAATTATATATTTATTCATTAAACATCCACATAAAAGGTATTGAAAAGATAGTTGACAGCACTCTTCATAATATATCAACGAACTTTTATCAATTAACAAGCGACACGTTGACCAATCTGATTCTCACGGTCCGGCAAATCTCCTATGGACCCCTCCACTTTCTTTGTGCCCCACCGAGTTACTCCTCATAGCTTTCTACTCTTGCCACGTGTTAAATATTCTGATTTTTCCACATGCCATTATAACAAGAAATCCCAACCGCTACATATGTTCCCTTCCTCAGCAACTCCCCTTTGTCTCCTCACTCCTCCATCCATCCTTTCCCTCGTTCTGCACTCTTTCCACCATAATGAATGACTTCACCAACACCATCACCACCCTCCTCCACCTCCAACACAAACAAATACCTCTCATTCTTCCCCTCAACCACCAGTGTCTCACTTCTATCAAAACCCTAACACCCCATATCACCTGTCTCGCAGTCCACCGTAACCTTCTCTACGCCGCATCTCTTAACCTCATCAACGTCTTTGATCTATCCTCCAATTACACCCTCATCGACACCTTCAACGAAACCTCCACTTCAGGTTTCGTGAAATCCATCACGTTTACCGGTTCAAGAGTCTTCACTGCTCACCAAGACTGTAAAATTCGTGTCTGGCATATTACATCCTCAAAACGACACTGTCTTGTTTCTTCTCTGCCTACCTTCAAAGACCGGTTGCGCCGCTGCATCGTTCCAAAAAATTATGTCACCGTTCGACGTCACCAGAAGAGTCTTTGGATCAAACATAATGATACGGTATCTGGTTTAGCAGTAAACGAGAAAGAGAAACTCATGTATTCTGTTTCTTGGGATAAAAGTTTTAAGATTTGGGATTTGTCTTCCGGTTATTACCGGTGTTTGGAGTCTTTTAACGCGCATGATGACGCCATTAACGCTGTTGTTGTTTCAGATGACGGTACTATTTACACGGCTTCGGCTGATGGGTGCATCAAGGCTTGGAAGATGGATAATAAGGTGAAACGGTATTCTTTTGTAAGTCTAGGGAAGCAGAAACCAACTGTTAATGCTTTGGCAATGAACGGAGATGGTACGGTTTTATTCTCCGGCGGGAGTGACGGGACGGTATGCCGGTGGGAGAATAATAACAAGTGTGAGGAAAACAACGTGGTGTTGATGGAAACGTTGAGGGGTCATGGTGGGGCGATACTTTGTTTGGTTAACGTGAATGAATTGTTGGCGAGTGGGTCAGCGGATCATACGGTGAGGATTTGGCAGAGGGAAAGAAGGGGTGACGGTGGTTATTGTTGTAGGGGAGTGTTGGAAGGACATGAAAAACCGGTGAAGTCGTTGGTGGTAATTTCAGGTGGTGGTGAAGAGGATGATGGACTGGACGGGGATGGGGTGGTTACTCTTTTTAGTGGAAGCCTTGACGGGGAAATTAGAGTGTGGGAAGTGTTTGGTTTGACTTAAAACTTTATCAATTCTAAATCATGATATTAACTATGAAACTGACACTAACATGTTACATGGTGTGGTAGGAGTTTACAGGCAAATGGATATGAAAATACCAAACCGAGCTTCGGCTTTTCATAAGAGCATAAAATCAAGTTTCAAAACTGATTTGTGGGTGAAGCCTTGCTCTTCATCACTAGAACTTTAGTTGCAATAAGTAAAAAAATAAATAAATATAAATACAAGTATGTATCTTCATGCGTAACATTTTTATGTACGTTATCACAAGCTTTATTTGCTCTCTACTTCTCTTTGATTTTTTATTTTTTTATAATGAAAAATAGATATATGGAACTACAAATCAAAGGGATTCTGAAGGCTGTCACAAACTTGACTTATCTGACTTATAACTATAACTATTCAGATATAATATGTATGGGAGGAGTGATGGAATAGAGATTTGGTGCGGTTAAATTATCTTTTGATATGTCGGTAAGATGGTTAATCGGTAAAATTAACACTTCAAAACTCAAATCAGTGAATAAGTCACAAAAGAATATAGTAAGTTATAGTTAGAATATACCTTATATATCGCATGCGATATCTTATGTATAAGGGACGGTTAAAGATGCCTTATGTTTATTGGCGTGGAACGAGAGATATCGTTAGATAATATTAAATGATGAATTAATCGTTTGTGGCAAGAAAAGAGTACGGGTCTCAAGGTCATGTATGCACTGTATCTTTGACACCTTATGACTTTGTAGTCATGATTAGGCCTCTTTGTTAATAGGCATCTGACCGGCCTAAAACAGTTACCTCAAAGTTTTCCATAGCGTAACAATGAAATTTTTTTCAAAATATCGGGTCGGCGTCGCTCTATGCCAGAATCTTCGGCGGATCCTTCGTTCGCAGAAGTGAAAAATATTTAAAAAGTCGGTGTAAGTGACCTTGAGAATAAACATATTAAATGTCAATCTCATCATTGATATGTTTTGCAGGTTTGTTCTTACACACGGTCCTAGGTCTTTAGGGAGAGTACGAATCTCCCCTCCAAGGGGCTAAAGTGTACTTGAGTGATGTTATAATCTCAAGAAAAAATTGAAACTTGTTTTTCATCTCCCTGTTTTCCTTCATTTTGAATAATTGATTCATCAATCTCACTGCACTATATAGTGGTTATTCATCCTTTAGAGTAAGTTCATACTCTTTGCGCAAACAATAACTTTTCCATTCTCTTTTCAATGTATGATTAATATTCCATGAGCTTCGACGATTTCTATTTTGCATGTTCCTTTCCTTCTTTAGATTATGCACTCCTTTGATTCATTGCATCTTCAAGGCGGCCCTTCGTCGTATTCTTTCCTCCAAAATTCTAGTTTTTTACATGTACTGTAGTTGCATGCCTTTACTATCCAATTATTTTATTGCTTGTCTTATCACTTTCATCTTTATTTTATTTCGATCCGTTGAGTCTCCTTCATGTTTGCACTTCTCGTTTTTTGCATGCATAATATTTTAGTTAGATTTGATCTTGATCTAAATGTTCTTTGACCAATAACATATGATAGTGAAATGAAATCACTTTGGATTTTTGGACAAACTTTGATTCATGGTAAAATCTCAAAAAACTTTTGAAAATTTGAGATTTTACAAGATTGATTCGAATCATTCAGTTTTACACTGAATTTGTGATCTTGATCAAATTGGACAGTAGCTCAACTTAAAAGTTTGATCGTGATCAAATTTTACACTTGATCCTGATCATTTTCCTAGGAACAAATTTTGTCTAATTTGATTCGAATCAAAATTTGTACATGATTCGAATCAATTTCAATTTTCAAAAAATCATGTTTGTTTCTGTTTGATTTGATCCAAATTAAACTTTGAACATTTTCTTAAAAATCTTGTCAGCCCTGTGTCATTTGATTCAAATCAAAACTTATGCTTGATTCGAATTATAAGGCACTTGATTCGAATTAGAAGGCATTTGATTTGAATCATGTTTTCTCTTATCTGAATCAACTGACATATTTTTTTCAAAATTGATTATTTCTTTCATTCTTCCTCATTTTGCTCATTTGATTCAAATTATATTTTTCTTGATTCGAATCTAACCACTTTTTTCAACCTTTTTGTGTGCTTCATCTCAAACACATATAAATCATTTTTGTCATCATTCTATATACATCATTTATCATTGTCGCTACTCGAAAAATGCATCGTGCAACAACGGAGAGGCGAAAAAGATAGACAGAAGAGTCGCCACCGAACTTTATTTATCCCATGAGGGGAAAGGAAAATATCGAGAAAACCTTAAGAAAGAAATGGATAAGATGGTATCGCGACCAAGAACGGGTTCGGAAGCCGGTTATGCAAGGGGAAGGTATTAGCACCCTTCGCATCCATCGTACTCGATGAGAACCATTTGTTTGTCGACGTGTAAATTTATTTGCTTAAATATTATGCTATAAAAAGTGTTCCAAAAGAGAGAAGGGTTAGAAACAGGCGAAAGAGAGGTAGCAGGGAAAGAAGAGAGAAAGAACAGACTCGGTAGGACTTCGCGGTCCTAGGCCTACGTATTCTCAAAAGGTATGAGAAAGTCAGAGTCGACGTAGTTCGGGGAACTACAGATATGGGGGGAAATGTGCTCGGCAAGGATTGTGGCCCTTGTGCCGACGTATCTTTACTTAAAAGAAGTAAAGAATCAGAGCAAGCGTAGTTCGGCCTACGGTTTGCGGGAAAGTTCTGGTAGACAATGCTATCGTGCGCATTCTAGCAGTTTAGGTGTTTTCCTGCTCGCATGTGAGGAGACTTAAGTGTTACTTGTTTGCGGTAGAACTGACGTAGCATGCCTTTCTGGGAAAGGGTGGAAAAGAGAAAAGGGTGCTCGCTAGGATTGTCGCAATCCTATGCCTACGTATTCTCAATATGCAAGAGAAATCAGAGTAACGTAGTTCGTGCTACTACGGATAACCGGTGTTTTTGTGGATGATGCTATCGTTCGCGTTCTAGCAGTTTAGGTGTTTTGTTGCTCGCATGTGAGGAGACTTATGCGTTACCTGTTTGCGGTAGAACGGAAGTAACATATCCTTTTTGAAAGGTTGGTTTTTTCCATGTGAGGCAAGAAGTCACGTTTGATTGGTTGAAACTATTTTTAGGGGCGAGATAGGTCTTCGGATAGTAACCCCTTACGGGTAGTACCCAATTCTTTATCTCAGAGTTTTTGTTATAAAAATGGTGTGGCGAACGTAGCGTCTTCGTATTGAAAGACGAGTATCAAAACCACACACACTACAGTGAGTATCCTGACACTCGGAGAGGAAGAAGACTACACTCAATCCTCTCTATTTAATTCAATACAAAGAGAACTTCATTCTCTTATTAAGGATGTTTTTGGTTTTGAATGGTAAGTGTTTTGTGACAGAGAATCCTACGGTAAAAGTCAGCACTCGGGATAGGAGAAGGCATACAGCTAACCACTCTACGACCATTCAAGTTTTTGTTAAGAAAAGAGTTTGAAAAAGAATTTGGTACGGGACTGAGGTTTTAGGTGAGAAAGGTTGCGGAGAGAAATTGTGGGAAGAGAGGTGGTGAATAAAGGCGTGTTTTCATATTGAAAGACGAGTATCGAAACCACCCACACTACAGTGAATATCCCAATACTTGGAGAGGAAGAAGTCTACACTCAATCTTCTCTCTTTAGTTCAATACAAAGAGAAATTGATTTATTATTGAAAGGGCTTTGAAAATGCACTCGGTACGGGGCTGAGGTTTGAAAATGTACTCGGTACGGGGCCGAGATTTGAAAATGGACTCGGTACGGGGCCAAGGTTTTAGGAGAAAAGGATGGAAGCGTCTTTGTATTGAAAGACGAGTATCAAAACCACCCACACTACGGTGAGCATCTCGACACTCGGAGAGGAAGAAGACTACACTCAATCCTCTATCTTTAATTCAATACAAAGAGAATTTATTTTTTATTAAAAGTGTTTTGAATATGCACTCGGTACGGGGCCGAGGTTTTAGGAGAAAATGGTGTTGAAAATATACTCTGTGCGGAGCTGAGGTTTTTTAGGAGAGAAGGATGTGGATGAGTGCAGAGAATACAAGCGTCTTCGTATTGAAAGACGAGTATCGAAACCACCCACACTACAGTGAGTATCTCGACACTCGGAGGGGAAGAAGTCTACACTTAATCCCATCTCTTTAGTTCAATACGAATATAACTCGATTCCTTTACTGAAGATGTTTTTGAGAATGAACTCGGTGCGGAGACCGAGGTTTGGAAAATGTACTCGGTGTGGAGCCGGGGTTTTTAGGAGGAAAATGGATGGAAAGCGTCTTCGTATTGAAAGACGAGTATCAAAACCACCCACACTACAGTGAGCATCTCGACACTCGGAGAGGAAGAAGACTATACTTAATCCTCTCTTTTTAATTCAATACAAAGAGAAATGATTCCTTATTGAAAGGTGTTTTGAAATGCACTCGGTGCGGGGCCGAGGTTTTTAGGAGAGGAAGGTGGAAGTGTCTTCGTATTGAAAGACGAGTATCAACACCACCCACACTACAGTGAGCATCTCGACACTCGGAGAGGAAGAAGTCTACACTTAATCCTCTCTTTTTAATTCAATACAAAGAGAAATGATTCCTTTATTGAAGATGGTTTGAGAACCTGCCAAAGAGATGAAAAATATATATAGGATATGGATAATATACAAGATATATAATCAACAGTCCACCAATTAGGATTTTATGGTTTGATATTTATTAAGTGTTTTAAGAGAATGTACAAGTCAGTTGAATATTTACAGGATAATAATAATATACAGAGTATATAATATGTACAAGAGTATAATGACTGATAAATAAAGCAGTTAATATTTGACAAAAAGTAAAGCAGTTGTAGATTGGTTAGTGAATTGAATTGGGACACAAAAGAATGGGATCTCGTCTTAACCACAAACAAAATGTCGATTAATCGAAGGTAGTCTATCGCGATCCCAAAGTAAGGA